GTTGAGGTAAGGCACATAGAGAAATGTGTGGTTTGGGTAGCAGATGATGTCCAGTTGATAAAAATTTATTCTTAGGTCTTAATAACAGGATAGAAATATAGACACAGGTTTATAAATCATGATGGCACACAAAGTAAGGCATAGCTCACTTAAAACATAGTGAGAAGCTTCTATTTATTCTATTCCATTCTAAATATTGTTTAAAAATAAAGTAAAAAGATTATAAAGCAAGTTATAGGATTGAAGTTATAGTACCAAATTCTACAAACATACAATGAGGGCCTATTCTGTGCAAAACAGTGCAATAGGGCTAAGTAATCAAGAATATATAAATAGCTCCACAACATTGGTCTGGGCAATGATATTTTGGATATAATCTTAAAAGCACAAACAACAAAAGCGTAAGTAGACAAATGGGACTACATCAAACTAAAAAACTTCTGCACAGCACAGGAAACAAGAGTGAAGAAACAACTTAGATTAGGAGAAAATAGTTGCTAATATATATCTGATAAATCTGGTAAGAGATTAATATAAAAAAATAAAAGGAACTCAACAGCAAGAAGAAAATGTGGTACATATATACAATGGAACCATTTGACCTTAAAAATAAAGGTAATTCTTTCACTTGCAATAAAATGAACAAACTTTTAGGATATAAGTGAGATAAACCAGGCAAAGAAAGACAAGTACTAAGGATCTCACTTGCTTGTAGAATCTTAAAAAAGCCAAACTCATAAAAAGTAGAGAGTAGAATAGTAGTTACTGGAGGGTGGTTACCCCTCTTACTAGAGACAAGGGGTGAGATGAGATGTTGGTCAAAGGGTATGAAGTTGCAGTTAGAGAGGAAGAATAAGTTTTTGAGATCTGTTGCACAGCAAGGTGACTATAATTAATTATGTGGCATGTATTTCCAAACAGCAAGAGAGTAGATTTTAAATACTTGCACTACAAAAAAGTATGCATATAAAATGATGAGAATAGCTGGGCATTGTGGCTTAGGAGGCTGAGGCAGAAGGAGCAAAGTCAGCCTCAGCAACATATCAAGGCCCTAAGCAACTTAGCAAGCAAGACCCTATCTCAAAAGAAAAAATAAAACAAAGGGCTGGGTATATGCTCAGTGATTAAGCACCCCTGGATTCAATTCCTGGTACCAAAAATACACACCCACACACTGGGTATGTTAGTTTGATTTAATCATCAATAATATATTATTAAAACATCACATTATGTTCCATAAATATAAACAATTATTATTTGTCAACTAAGAATGATAAATAAATAGCCAGGTGTGGTGGAACACACCTGCAATTCCAGCAGCTTCAGAGGCTAAGGCAGGAAGATTGCAAGTTCAAGGTCAGCCTCAGCAACTTAGTAAGATCCTGTTTCAAAATAAAAAAATTAAAATGGGCTGGGGAAGGGGCTCAATGTTTAAGTGCCCCTCGATACAATCACTGATAATAATAATAATAAATAAAAAGCATGGGTATATAAAAAAAATAATAAAACATTGGTACTCACAATGTGGTCAGAGAGAACTACATATAGATAAAGTATACTAGTAGTGAAATTATAAATTCTGCCATGGATACGGCCGAGTTTTAATTATTTAGTACTGATGAAAATTTTTACTTTTTCCCCCATTTTACTGTTAGATTGTCAATTCACTACTTGTAAAATATTTGAAGATATAAATCAGGGTAAGTTAAGCCAAGCTAAAACTTTACTATTTCCAAAAAATTTAGGCAAAAAATGTGACCTACAATGATGTTGAGAATTATGTATTACAATCTGTAAACTATCATTTGTTCTCCTCCACTATTACTTTGAAGAATAAAGTTCATCTTAACTCTATTTGAATGAACTCCTTAGCTTTCCAAAGAAAAGGTACTTCCTGATTTCCTTAATTTGGGGGAGTAATGTCACTCCTAGAAGTCTTAAGATAGATAAAAGAGAATAGCTGGCTCAATATAATCCAGCAACAATTATAAAATCTCAAACTTTCTTCTGAAGAGGCCAAATAAATAACAACTCTAAGATTTTACAAGTATAAAGATATTATATCATGGGGCTAGAGTTGTGGCTCAGTGGTAGAGCACTCGCCTAGCACTTGCAGGGCCCTGGGTTCGATCTTTAGCACCAAAAAATAAATAAATGAAATAAAGTTATTAAAAAAAGATATTATATCACATCATATCATAGTATATGTTATAGATAACTGCCTCTATTAATAAGCACTATTGTCATCTCCTAAATAATATAAAAAATTGATGATAATAATATGGACTTATCAGTATTGCCAATTATTTCAACCAAGACATCATCTTGACAGTATTACTCCTAAAAAATGTTAACACAATAGGCTCAAATAAGAATCTATTTAGTTTATTTTAATTTTAATATAAATGTATCATCTTATAAATATGATACAATGTAAATATAATTTTAATATGTGTACCACCAATTAATAAGATTTCTATTATAGAATTCAGAAGGTTAATTTCCCTACAAACTGTTGGGGTAAGTGTTAAGCTGGTATTTTTAATTTAAAATCATCAGACATTTTGACATATTACTTTTATCATATTTTGGACAACCTAGAAGATCTCAAGATTGACATTTTTTCTGAAAGAGAAAGAGAGGGAGGGAAAGAGTGAGAAAAGGAGGAACAAAGTAAAAAGGAAGAGAGAAGACAGGAAGGTAGGAAGAGGGAGGGAGGAAAGCTTTCACTAATTAAAAGCAAGGGCAGATTTCTCTTTTCATGGCAATGCAAAGTCTCACAGATATTAAAATACTTTAATCCATGTCTTCAGGTAAGTGGTTATAGTAAAGGCAATTTTCCTATTTAGAGTCTCCACAATTCTTAATCTACTTAGGTTATTTGTTAAAAAAAAAAAAACATTTTCTCCAAACCAAATTTAATGGCTATAAATTTCAGTTTTGTATATGAAATTCCTTTGAATATTCATAGACTTTTAGGTATCTAATTATTTGCTGAAAATTACAGATATTAACTAAAAGTAAATACAATTAAAAATTGATTCTAAATGGTATAGTCACTATAGAAGACAGTATGGCAGTTCCTCAAAAAATGATATATTTACCGTATCCTGGGTATAAACTCAAAAAGATTAAAAGTAGGAACTCAAACAGATATATGTATAGGCATGTTCACAATAGCATTACTGACAATAGCTAAAAAATAGAAACAACCTAAATGTCCATCAACAAGTGAATGGAAAAATAACATGTGGTAAAAAGAAACAATGGAACATTGTTTAAAAGGAATGAAATTCTAATTAATATATTCACTGTGAATGAACCTTCATGATATTATGCTAAGTAAAATGATCCAGACACAAAAGGACAAATATTGTATGGTTCCACTTACAGGAGTTACCTAAAACAATTAAATTTTAGAGATAAATGAAATTTTACAGGATGGTGGTACTGCCAGGTGCTGAGAAAAGAAGAATGGGAGTTATTGTCTAGTGGGTACAGAATTACTGTTTGAGAAAATAAAAAGTTTCTAGAGATAGATGGTGGCAATGATTGCAACAAGGTAAATGTACTTAACAACACTGACCTGTACATTTTAAAATGATTAAAATGGTCAATTTTATGTGTACTTTACCGTATTAGAAATTGATTATAAGCATTTTGGGGGGCTATATGCAAAATCAATTGATTAAGCATTTGACAAACTTATTCATTACATTAAGGCACATGGCTTAGACTAACCTGAAAACTCCAGCCCATTTCTTAAGCAGTGTTTCATTGTATTGATCTCTTATCTCAAATAAAAGGTCAAAAAGTCGGTTCACTGGAAAACCATAACCCTAAAATACCAAAAAAGAAACAAAAAAGCAGATAAACAAATGTATAAAAATATTTATAAAAAATGGTGGGAACACTAAAGAATCATTTGGAAGAGTTCACTAAAGCACGTTGTACATCACTCTGAAAGCATACAATGATTTTTAAACTTTCTACTGAATTGCATTAAGATAGAGGTCCAGAAAGAGTTTTAAAGGACTGGAAATTTTTTCCCACTTCTCTCTTTTCAGTCAGGACTTCAGTGTTAACCTCAAAAAGTATTAAAGAGTCAAGATGGGAAAGAGTTCAAGATTAATGTTCTACATAGCTGTGTACCTAAAGAGTAAACAAGAGGAAAAGGAACAAATTTGTCTAGAAAATGGTGACTTCCTTTTGTACCTTCAATTTCAGATTTACTTTTTTGCTTATAAGGAAAATTTGTATCTTTCCATTAATTACATATGTACTCCCTAAACTTTAGTCCTTTATACTCCGAGCTCACTGAAATCCTACCCATTCTGGGGCCAGACATCTTGTCTTACTTTGCAGAGTTGTCCCTTTTCCTCTCCAAGGTTTTTCCTTCATCTCTGTTCTCTTTCTGTAAGAACTATTCCATGGATTATCTACTTATTCTATTATGTCTTCAGTTTTCCCTAGCTCCTTTCCCTTAGCTAAGTAAACATGCTAAATTGTCTCCCATCTTTAAACTAAGAACAACAAAGAGACCAAAAAAGTCCTCTCTGAAATTTTTGTGGTTCCTAGGTGTTTCCCTTTCGCTTCTTTTATGGCCACCCCTAATGCAATCTAATTCCCATTCCTACTCCTTTATTTAAACTGCTCAACAATGTGAAAGATTATCTCCTAAATATAAAATTCCATGATCTCAAGGGAGACCTCTTCCTTGAAACTCCTCTGCTTTGAATTCTGTAACACCACCTTACTCTCCTTGTTCTTTACATCTATAAACAATCCTTCTAGTTCCTTAATTTCTATCACTGTCTTTCTACCTTTTCTTTTAATTCTCTAAAGCAATATTAACTCTAATGACTTTAATCACTATTTTTCTGATTATTCTGAATCTATATGTCTAGCTAGACCTCTCTAAATTCCAGACAATTAATTCCAATAAATTACAACACCTTGTTAGAAAATCCACTCAGTTAGCCAACAATCACATTAAAATTAACTTATTTTCTCCCTTTCTAACTAAACCATGTGTCTTTTTACTTTCTATCTACGGTAATAATTTTATCATCAATACAGTTTTTCAAGAGAAAAACTTCAAAATCACCTAAACTCCCTTATATATATTTAATCAGTCACCAAAAACTTTTCATTTTTCATCCTTCACAAATCTCCTTCAAATCTTTCGTTCTTCTAGAAATATTCCCAGTATAACTGAATTATTTCAGGTCCTTCATATCTCTTTCATAGGCCATTGTAAGAGTTTCCTAAACTAAAATCACACCCACCTATTTCAACTGAATAGATTCTCAACCCTCAAAATTACCAACCATTCAAAAGTTCAAACCCAATCATACCATTCCCCCTAAAAAGTAAAAAAGTAAAAAAGATTTACTAAACTCCCTCCCACAAGACCTGACACAATCTAATTTAAACTACTTCATCAATTTCATCACCACTATTTGTACTTCCTTGCACATACCCACATGCTAGTTTCTAACATAATAAAGCTGCTAAATCAGTCTTGAATTCACCATTCCAAACTAGATCTATAGTTTGCACATGCTTTTCTCTTAATGTCCTTTCCTTCCTATCAGCTTGCTGAACTCATCCTTCAAAATCTAGCTCAAATTTCAACTCTCTGAATATAGCCTTCCCCAACTCCTGGAATCAAAATTAGTCATTCTATCTTCTGTGAGCTAGTACTCTTTAACATATTGTTTTATTATATTGTTTATTAAATTCATTATTTGTTTACAAGTAAATTGAATTTATTAAAACCAAGGATTTTTATGTCCATACTTTCTTACTAATTTCTATGGCTCCACCATTTTATATATCAAATAACTGCTAAAAGGATGCTTAAAAAGTGTTAATGAATAAATCAATCTATGTTTACTTTCAATTTGCCTAACAGTCAGTAAGCAGAACTAGGAATGTGCTGGTGTTACTTTTTACTTTATTGTTTAGTCACCTTACTTTAAATGATAAAACACTGGTACTTTTAAAAGCAAAATTTCCTTAAGATGGCCAATTTAAAAAACTAAAAATTAGTTGGGTGCAGTGGCACATGCTTGTAATCCCTACTACTTGGGCAGCTGAGACAGAAGGATTACAAGTTCCAGATAAGCTTCAGCAATTTTATGAGACTTTGTCTCAAGATAAAAAAACATTAGAAGGAGTGGGGATGCAGCTCATGGTAAAGCACCCCTAGATTGAATCCCTAGTACCAGAAAAAAATTATATGACATTCCTTAACTGGTTTTAATGAAAAAGACAGGTCCATTCTTCAATAGGTTTAAATTTAAAAGCCAGATAAAAATCCTCCAAATAATAAGTCTGTCAATTTTCAGCAAAATGAAAACTGCAGCATTTCTGAATAAGTGAAAAGGACTGGTGTCCTCCTTAATCTTATTTTAAAGTAGTAAGATTAGAAAGGTATTCTTGGCAAGGGTTTACATAACCATCACTGCTGCTTTTCCAATGCAACAATTTTCCAATTTTCTTTGATTTCCTGCAAAGGTCATTAGAACCATGTCAAATACTCTAGATTTAGTTGTTCTGAAAGTGCCAATCCAAAAGCTGTAATGATCTACAAAGAGATAAGGAGCTTGTACCAAAAGATAAATCAATGTTGTTAACCTACACTGACAAATTATCACCCATAGCAAGATGCCAATTGTCCTAAACACTGTACTTAATAATATAGTTAATTCACATTCTGACAAAAACTCCTTTTTGTTGCATATCTAACAATATGCAAATATAGCTATTTCATACTTACAAAAATGGTAGCCTGTTTTAATAAAAAAGTTAATTCTAACCATAAAATCCCATAAGTTTAAGCATAAAAACAAAAATGCAATCAATTCTCTGTTATTTTAGAAGGAAGTGGTATGAATAGTTTGAGGTAATAGAATGCTAATACATAAGTAAACATTTATTACTATCTATTTACTACCATTAATCCACAATAAAATAAATGAGCATGCTCTGTATTTTGTATGTCTTTAAGTGCTCAAAACAGCCATTAATTGAACATTAGGTTATTACTCACCTGCAAAGTATCTGCAAAAATTACAATGAGATTCTTCAGCTCCAGAACAAGATCAGGATCAGTGCAATAAGACTGAGGGAACAAGGATGGGTTAGCGTGGAGATGGAAACACAACATAGGGCGGGAGGGTGGGGGGAAGACAGAGACATTTAATTAAAAATTAAGAAATAAGAACCCCAAAAAAGTTTCTTTTAATTTAACAGACTTCACAATAAAATTAAAATCTTTATTAGTCAGATCCACAGCTGGGCTTCTTCTACTTGGTATAAATTTTTAGGGAGATTATTTAAAGTAACTATTTTTTTCTGAAATTTGCACATGATAAACCTTGGACAAAACAATAATACTTATATTTCTAAAACTTTTAAGATTTTAAGAAACTAGTTATTTTAAACTGACACAATGGATTTAATATAGACCATGCATTTTTAGTTTTCAATCATTTATTCCCCCTCTTATAAAAATATATAATGTATTTTTTTTAACATAAGAATAACAATTAAAATATCTGGAATTATTTTTTAACAGCATTTAATGAGATTTTGAATGTTATATATTGCATTTAATAATATAATTTAACATTTAATGTCATGGAATTAATAGGAAACATACCATAATTTTATATACTTAGAACTGATCTGATAAAATTATTATTATTCAGTGGTAGAGCACTTCCCTAGTACATGTGAGGTCCTGGGTTTGATCTCCAACACCCGTCTCTGCCCCCCAAAAAAGTATTACTCTTTATTAATATGTCAGAAAAAGTTCCAGTTCATAGGACAGTGCATCTAGATTCCTGATAAATAAAAATGTAGTGTGTTTACAATCTAAATATTATATATGATAATTAATCCTCCCTCATATATTTTAAATCTCTACTTAATCAATAATAAAATAATTATAAATATCAAATTATAAAATTTGAATACGGTGATAGTTTAGACTGTCTTATTAAAGAAAAGTCTGACCAATTTTTAATTTCAATCTTGCTTATGACACTAACATATTTATTATTTCCACAAAAAGCCTTAGGAAAATATTTGCTCAATTTTAGTCCATAAAAACTTCGCATTACACAAAGGTTCATTATTTCAAATGAGTTCAACTTTTTAAAACTGAAAATTTTTCATAAATTCATAATTGTAGTGTACTACTGCAAATTATAAACATTGAAAAACAAGTTCTATTGAGTTTTAATGGTGGAGCTTATTTTGGAAACAAAGAATTTGGAATGATAATTAAAAATCCTTTCTTCATGGTGCTTTTCAGTGATCCAATAAAGAGGTCAGTTGAGACTAATGAGACCAGCTTAATTCTTCATTTTCTATAATGCTAGAATAAAAATGTCTTGGGAAGCCCCCGTCAGTTGCAAAATCCAGAGTGATATTACCAGAAACATAAAGGCCTAACATTACTGCTTTCAAATCAAAGAAATTACCAAAAAATACAGAAAGATGGAAGTACAGTTTTCCTTTGAATTGTGTAACTCCAAAGTTCTTGAAGTAACCGAATTAAAATTTTAGTAACAAAAATTGTCTGACTTACTGAATGAGCTCTAAGGACAGCAATTATCTTTGAGAGGGCCATGTTCCAAAGTTCATCAGTGTATGCCCTGGTTACTAATCCTTGAGTCACATGTAAAATGTGATCTTCCACAACAAAGAACCTAGAATAGTAATTACCAACACAGCATGTGTTAAAAATTTTTTTAAAAGCCCAAATAGAAAATGTTTATTTCTTATGTTTAACATAATTAAAATTAATAATAGTTACTTCCATATTAGATACATACCCTACAATTTGAGTGAAATATCTTCTATAGCCATCAACTGTTTCATGCTTTAAATGAAAAACAAAAATCAATTTAAACCAATAAATACCAGTGATATAAAGGTTCCAAGTCACTACAACTTCACTAACAAATATTTATTGACAGCCTACTGTATGCTGCATATATTTTTAGGTTCCAGAAATACACATGTAAATAACAAAAAATGCTTACATATGATACCAACAAAGATGTTGTGTCCGCCAAGAACTAAGAAAAAATAAATAAAAAAAATGTTAAAATTCTCTCTGTCCCCCTCTGTCTCTCTCTCTCTCTTTAAAAAAAAAAAAAGAAAGAAAGAAGATAAGACATTAAATAAGTTAAAAGTAAATAGGATTTCAGAACCCCCTCTCAGCACCCAAGTTGAAGCTACCATCATCTCTTACTTGGGTTAACACATCATTTTCCTACCTAGTCTCCCTAGCTTCCAGCCTTACCCCCTATGGTATATTCTCATATAGCTGCAGGATAATGCTTTTCAAACAATAGTCAGAACATTACATCTTCTGCCAAAAAGAACTTTTAGTGCCTGATGCAGTGGCATACACCTATAATCCCAATACTCAGGAGGTTGAGGCAGGAGGATTTTGAGTTCAAAGCCAGCCTCAGCAAAAGTGAGGTGCTAAGCAACTCAGTGAGACCCTGTCACTAAACAAAAATACAAAATAGGGCTGGGGATGTGGCTCAGTGGTCAAGTGCCCCTGAGTTCAACCCCCAGTAACTTCCCCAGCCAAAGAAAATCTTTTAGTGCCTTTTCATATAACAAGTTTAACCTCTTAAAAATAGTCTACATTTGCCCATTGTTTATCATTTTAACAAAAGGCATAAAAGAAAACATTTGATCACCTGACTTATCATTGATAAAAACTTGCTGGTAGAAAATATTTCATATTTCTATTGTTCAAATTATATATTTGCATATTTCATAAATGTGATCAAATTTTCAAACTTCTGGGTTTTTTTTTTCAATTTTTGCAGGGAGAAGACTGTTAATACCTTCTAACTTAAAAAATACTGTGCTCAGAAACTATAGTTTACAATGACACCAAATGTTTGATATTCCTTGATACTTGCTTTATTCTATACAGAATGTAATTTAAAAATTTTTTATTATCCCATGTGTACTCTAAAAGAGTATATATACGTATGTGCAACTGTTGAAATAGGGTTCTCTATGTTCCATTAGATCAAGCCTCTTAAGCATACTGTATATTCTTACTGGCACTCTGTCCACTTGGCTTTCAAGATACTGAGACAACTGAAAATCTACTATGCTTGTGGATTTTTCCACTTCTCCTTGTAATTATGGCATATTTGCTTTAAATATTTCCAATCAATGTTATTAAGTGCACACAGGTTTATAATTATAATAAATAATTATAACAGGTATATAATGTTTAACAACTCTAAGACATACATATATTTTATTTTTTATCATTATAGGCTTTATCTTGTATTATATGAAAGTATATACTTGGTTTTTATTCCTTTAGAAATTACCCTAAACACCACATTATATATCTGTAAGTAATCAAACTCTAAAATTAGTCAAACATTTTTGCTGCTCTTCTAGACAATTCAGACACTTTCATTAACTCCCATCTCATTCTAATGTTTATGTTATTATTTTGTATTTTAATTCCATCTTAAGTCCATAATATCTTATTGAAAATTTTGTTCCGTCAACATAGGTTTATCTACATATTTATACTTTCTTCACTACTCATTCCTTCTCACATCTCCTATCTTCCACATGGTCTCACTTTCCTTTTTCCTTTTCTTTTAAATTTTCCTTAAGTTCTGCGTTTCTTTGTTTAAAATATGTATCTTTGACCTTGTTTCCTAGGTTGACAGTTATTTTTGTTTGGTACTGATAATATTTCATTGTCTTGTTTACTTGATAATACTCTCTTATGAGTATTTTAAGATTGATTTGTTTTTATGTACAGTTTATTGGCATATAATTTACATAGCATAAAACCAACTCTTTTTCTACAGAGTTCACTAAATTTTGACAGATGTAGACAGTTGTGTAATCACTACCAAAATCAAGAAGTATAACTAGATTTCTAGCTCATAAAGTTTCTTTATACCCTTTTGCAGTGAACTATTTTGCCCAACTCCCAGCCTTTGACCACCACTAATCCCATTCTGTCCCACAGTTTTGCCTTTTCAAAAATGTCAAATAACATAACTTCATTATCTAATTTTCTTACTCAGAATAATGCTCTTGAAGTATATCCATTTATCTATGTTTATCAATTCCTTTTTATTGCTGAGAAGTATTCCATTATATGAATATGAAACAATTTGTTTATCTACTCATGTGGATTAACCACAATTTATCAACTAGTTCACAGAAATTCAGGTTGGTTCAAGTTTTGACATTTATTAATAAACTACTATAAACATTCACATATGAACCACTGTATAAAAACATATTTTCATTTCTTCTGAGTAAAAATCTAGGATTGGGGATGTACGGTTTTATGTTAATTCATTATCTTAAATTGCCAAACTGTTTTCCAAAGTGGCAGTGTAATTTCTATACCCACCACAGTATAATAGAATTCTAACTGTTCTACATCTTCATCAGCACTTGGTATTATCAATTTTTTTAAAGTCAGTTATCCTAATAAGTATGTCATAGCAATTCATTATGGTTTTAGCTTACATTTTCCTGACAAAAAAATTATACTGAACATTTTTTCATGTGTTTATTTACCATCTGTATATCTTTAATAAAATGTATATTCAAATTTTTATTGTCATTTTCAAAGCTAGTTTGTTTGTCTTTTAACTGTTGAATTATATAAGTTATTTTTATATTCTGGATATAAGCCCTTTGTTAGACATGAGTTTTGCAAATATTTCTCCAAATGTCTTGCCTTTTGATTTTCTTGAAAATGCCTTTTTTAAAAAAATGTTTTTATTATAAGTTCATTATAGTTACACATAATAGTGGGGTTCATTTTGACATAATCACATATACATGGAATTTAGCTGTCTCCATTTCAGTCCCTAGCACTTTCTCTCTCCTGCCCACCCTCCTCCATCTCCCTATCCTTCCTCCTCTATTCTACTTATCTTCCTTCTGTTACTTATTTATTTTTAAGTATTTATTTTTTAGCTGTAGGTAGACACAATATCTTTATTTTCATGTTGTGCTGAGGGTCGAACCCAGTGCCTCACACATGCTAGGTGAGCAGTCTACCTCTGAGCCACAACCCCAGCCCTATTTATTTATTTCTTAATTGGTGCTTTATAGATGTACATAAAGATGGAATTCACTGTGGTATATTTATATAGGTACATACTGTAATTTCCTCAAATTCATTCTGCATTTCCTTCTTTTCCTCCCTTTCCCCATCCCTCCTTCCTCCCCTCAATCTCTTTCCTGTAACACCACTGTTTTCTCTTTTATTTTTTTGAGATCTGATTCCTACCTCCAAACCCCCATGCCCCTTTTTTTCCCTTACTTTGCTCTAACTTCCATGGATGAGAGAAAACATTTGACCTTTGACTTTCTGAGTGTGGCTTAATTCATTTAGCATGATTCACTAGTGTTATCCGTTTACTAGCAAATGCCATTCTTTCATTTTTCTTTATGGCTGAATAAAACTCCATTCTGTACATACCACATTTTCTTAATCCATTCATCTGCTGATAGGCACCTTGGCTGATTCCATAACTTAGCTGTTGTAAATTACACTGCTATAAACATTGACAGGCCTGTATCACCATAATATGCTGATTTTAGTTCTTTTGGATAAATACCCATAGTGAAATCGCTGGGTGATATGGTGGTTCTATTCCTAGTCTTTTGAGGAATATCAATACTACTTTCCAAAGTGGTTATAGTAATTTGCATTCCCACCAACAATGTACGAGTGTACCTTTTTCCACACATCCTCTCCTACATTTATTATTTGTATCCTTGATGACTGCCATTCTAACTGGGGTAAGATAGAATCACAATATACTTTTGATTTGCATCTCCCTGATTGACAGGAATGTTGAGTATTTTTTCATATATTTATTGGTCATTTGTATTTCTTCTTTTGAGAAGTGTCTGTTTAGTTCTTTTGCCCATTCATTAATTGGGGTATTTTGACAATGGCTTTGAACAGCAGAAGTTTTTAATTTTGCTATTCAATTCATCAAAATTTGTTTGTTTGTTTTTGAGGATATTAAAATTATTTTAATAGACATAATATGAATCATAAGACCAGTCTATATAATAGCTCTTTAAAAATAATCTGTTATTGGGTTTTGTTTTATTTTTTTCATTAATTTTTAAATTTATATATGATAGGGAAATGTATTACAATTTTTCATATTTTTGGTTGTATACAAAGTATATTCACACCAATTCATGTCTTCATATATGTACTTTGAATAATAATGTCCATCACATTC